TGATCCCAACTAGTTGGGATCGGATGTTGATCTGACGATGAGCCCTAAATCTGGGAATGTGGACAATTGGTCAAGAAATGCATGAGTGACCAGTATGTCTCTCCTTCTAGTCAGGCTTACATGGCTCTGGCAGCATTTATGCGTCGCTATAATCCTTAGACTAAAGAGTAGTGCCTGGCACATAGTAGATGCTCAGTAAATATTAGCTAAATAAAGGATTGGCGTGCTAACAGAACAGCCATGATTGTTTCTCACATCAGGGGAGTCGATTCGTACCTCAGAAATCAGAGGAGGGTTCTGCTCTCTGAAACTACAGTCCCTGAATATTAAATAGGAATCATGAGAAAACAGAAGCATTGAGGCACATACTTAGTCATAAGTAACTCTGAACAATTGCAAGCACTCATTGCACTTTGTCTTATCACAAAAGCATGTAAAAAGAAAGAAAGAAAGAAAGAAAGAAAGAAAGAAAGAAAGAAAGAAAGAAAGAAAAGAAGGAAGAAAGAAACTGCAGATAAGGAAAGAAGAAAGTTTTTAAGAAACTACTGTTATGACATAAGTATGTACCCTTCGCAGATGATCTTCAAAGGTGAAAAAAGGTGAATTTTGTTTATGTGAATTCTATCTCAACTAAACTAAAAAACAAAAGAAAGAATCTTTTCAGTCTATGTCCATGAAGACAAGAGATAGAAAGAGCAGATGACTGAGTGAGAATTGCTTAAAGAGTTGCCCCATTCTGGGCTCTCCTTGGATACTGGGTACTGACCAGCCCCCGTTTCTAGCCAAGGCAGCTTCCAGAGAACCAACCCACCAGCTGACACAGGCCCGCCTGGAGCTCAGCGAGCACGGGGGTGGGAGTAGGGGCTGGTGCTCAAATCCCCATACGGCAAGTGACATAATCCTGGGTGTGAGATCTGGTTCTACTACAAATCCTGGGCAATTCACAAAAACCAACTGGATGAGGCCAAAAGAACAGGCTGTTACAAGGGTGGTATATTTCCAGGGCTGGTGGGCAAAGGTATGTGTTTTCCGTGGGCCAAGGCTCCAGCTACAGTGTAAAAACCCTACGAAGAGCACTGCCCCCAAAGCAAGGTGACCTCAGTAGAAAGCTCCTGTGCGTGACATTCAGGTGCCTGGAGAGCTACAGACCCCAGTGAGCTGTCTCTGAAGAACACTGGATGTGTTCCCAGTTTTAAAAAGGAGGCAATGTTAGGTATCTGCTGCTACACCTTGTCACAGGATGTGTGTTAGAAACAAAGGAGACACAGAATGGGAAGGCCCTTCATAGGATATAAAGTGGTATAAAAGTGTTCATTCTTAATAAAAATGACTCTAAATCATAAACTAGTGTTGTAACAATTTCTTGTCTCCTACCTCGGTTTCCTTAAGTCTTTGATTACAACAGGACACATTCTGGAAATCACAGGGCTAACAGAAGCCTGGAGATTTCATCTACCTAGATCCCTGGTCCCAGGTAGGGGTTACTTCCAAGCCCAGTTGAGCACTCACATGTCCACACCTGCCTCGGCACACTAGATTCAGAATCAATCCACTTTCTACTATCCATTGGAGTCACTGAATGGCCCAAAATACCAAAAGATTGTGCCATGTGGAAAAGACCAGAAGAATATCTATCTGTCCTATTTTAAACTCCTGAGAAGGCAATTCAACCATCTGTCTTGGCAACCATTCCAGGCTGGAGCCACCCCGTCAGAAACATCTCTCTTCTGTTTAATCTAAATCCTTCAAATGGAGCTTCAAGCTAATTTCATCCCATTCCCTTTTCAAATAATTTGGAGCACAGTTGTTTACCATCTGGATTATAGGATTATATAATGTTGCAGGGTTATGGTAAGCAGTAAATGAAATAATTCATGTCAACCACAGAGCTCAGTATCTAGCACATAATCATACATATTTATTATTACCACCATTATAGGTGCAAGGACTCTTTCAGTCACAAGTTATGTGACTACAACTCGAAATGATTGAAGCAGAAAGGAGGGGGGATGGGGTGCAGAATCTAACTAGAAAGGAAGTAAAAGCGTGTAGTGGCCTTCAGGTGCTGCTGGATCTAGGACTCAAGTCATGTTTGCTCTGCTCCTCTTTCTCTCTCTTCTCCTCTTTTTGACAAGCTTTTTTTTTTTTTTTAATGTTCATGTATTTCTTTTGCAGAGAGTGAGAGAGAGCGAGTAGGGGAAGGGCAGAGAGAGAGAGAGAGAGAGAGAGAGAGGCAGAGGGAGACAGAGAATCCAAAGCAGGCTCTGAGCTCGCAACCCCCGACGCCGGGGCTTGAACTCAGGAACCGCGAGGTCATGACCTGAGCTGAAAACAAAGCGTCAGAGGCTCAACCAACTGAGCCACCCAGGCGCCCCTCTGACAAACCTTTTGAAGTATAGAGAGCAGAATGGCAGTCAGCAGACTCAACTCAAATAAGCCTAGAATAGGTTTCTCATTCCTCAGTTTATTTATCAAAAATTTACTGAATGCCAAGCACGTGTCAAGCAGAGTTTTAGGAGCTAAGAATAGAGCACTGTCTAAGACATTAAATTTCTGCCCTTGTGGAATTTCCCTTCTAATTGAAAGAGGGGACCTGGTAGGAGATACGAAATTATGTAGAAAAAGTTCCCCCCACAACGTAGGGTCACACTTCACACCTACAATTAGGATAAATGCTTAGTTTTTTCTTCTCAAAGCCAAGTAAACTCAACCCTTAGAAAACTCCTTCCCTCTTGCCAAATGGCAGAATCTCAAGAATCAGGCCTTCGAATAGATAAATGTGTGTGGATTTTGAGTGCATTTGGTTTATTTATGCTGTGTAATCTTAGCACGATGTTTCTATGCCTGAAGCTATAGTGACATGTCTTTCGCTTCCATGGTTGAGTCCTTTTTCTTCTGAGACCACCTTCCCAAGGAGTACAGGACTTTCTTTCACCTTCATGGCTTCCTTTGAGTAGGATGCTAGTTCCTTAGTAAAACGTTACCAAAACCTGGTCATTTGTTAGTCATTTAGAAAGTATTCATCTGAGTAACTTTAATTCCATTTCTCTGTGTTAACCATTCCAACTATAAAAATGAAGGCCTGGACACCAGGGTTTTTCAAGAACCCCAGGACGTACGGCCTAACTTTCAAAACGTTCAACCCCAGCCTCTCCTGGGAGCTCATAGCAAGGAAGCTTTCCTGAAGCATTTCAGGCTGTATTCTTCTTGGGATGAAATTCCACTTTTCATGAAACTGAAAGTAATCGGAACCAAGCTGCTCTCACCTGAAAACATCTTGATTTACCAGTGCTACTCCAGATTTATTCCACAAACAGGCTGACTAAATTAACAATGCACACAATTCCGCTTAAGTTTGGCACTGGCCTAGCAAATGTGTGCTACCACACAAATCCACTCATGACAATGTAGGGACTAATTCTCATGAAATTCAAGGTTGCTAAACTGTGTGTGTGGGGGGGGAGTGTGGGGGGGGGGAGTTGGTTATCCTGACATCAGTTTTATTTCTTAATTTACAAGTTATGTGCCCTGCTCCTGTTTTCTCAACTTGGTCTGCTTTTCAGTTTTCCTATCCCTTCCGCTTTAGTTAGTTATCTCTTGTCAGGGCAGTAATTTATTTCCTTTAATCCACATATAATGGACAAATGGGCCATCTGGCTCAGTCAAATCCCATCGTTAAAACTGATCTCGGAATTAAACAAAAACGGATTTCATCGAAAAGCTCATCAGCCCCAGGCTCTCCACCTCTTATTTGTCCACCTGGCATTTTTTTTTCTTTTTTTTTTT